AAGCTTGTGGGGTGCAGGCAGCTCCTGCCACTGCTGGTACCCTGGAAGGGCATGGGGGAGCGTGTGCCCCCGGATCTGCACGGCATAGGCTGCAGCTCCAGGGCGGAGCTGGCTCCGGCACTGCGCAGGGCTTTTCTTGCTGGGGGTAGGCTCGGAGTGGGCTCTGGTGGTGCTCAGAGAAGGCTGCAGCTATCCCAAATTTCACTGCATTCCCATATCACTGCCCAGCACAGCTTCAGCTTTTCCTGATGCTTGGGTGCAGGTGGGGCGTTCAGCTGGGGCTGTACTGAGGGGCAACATGGGGCTGGGAGTGGAGCTGTGGTGACACTTGGGGTGGCTACAGCCTCCTCTCGGTGCTGCTAGAGCCCACTTTGAGCCCACCCCTAGCAAGAAAAGCCCTGCACAGCACCAGCTCCACCCCGCAGCGACAGCCTGTGCTGCACAGATCCAGGGGCACATGCCCCACCCCCCGGGGTGCAAGCAGTGGTGGGAGCTGCCCCACCCATGAGCTGTGCCTCCATCTTGCGCCCCCTCCCTCACTGCAGGGGGAGGTGATCTGCCCCCTCCATGCCCCTTCCCTTCCCCATCCCCTTCCACCACACCGGACTTACCACCTGATGGCAGCTGTATTGGATATCAGATTGGTATCAGCTGATATGCTTCCTTAGATATTGGCTATCAGTATCGGCCCCCAAAATCTCTATTGGTGTACCCCTACTAAATACAGAAATTAGTTATGGAGGGGTAAGTGTTATTTTAACTCCTTCCTATTGAAACTATTCTGCTTCTAAAATATTTAAAATAAACATTTAATCTTATAACTTCTAAAATAAATATTTGTTAGGCCACAGCCAGGAAGTACCATGAAGCATAACCCTTTAGCTCAGTAATCAGGGCACTGAGCTGGAAAGAAGGAGTCTCCGAACAGCATATCTGGCATTCTCTGGGGTATGGGGTTTGAATCAGCAGAGGAAGAATTAAACCCAAATATCTCATATCTTGGGTGATTGCTCTAGTTGCTGAAACTATGGGCAGGCATTACATCTGTGCCGGGAGAAATGCCTTTCTCCTGGCACCAAAAGCTAGCATATGGGCATTCAAGAGGTTTTGCATAGAAAAGAACTGGCTTTTCCACAAAAAAAATGAGAGCAATTTCAACCAGGAAGATCTCGTTTCTCTCATGCTAGCTTGAATGCATGTATACTTCTCTCAGGTCCTGAGGACCGCCAGTATCTCAGTCCTCTGCCCTCCTCCACTCCAAGGGGAAGGAAGGGAGGGAGGGAGAGCACTGGCTCCCTGGTAGCCCATGCAGTGGTAATCTGCAAGGAAGCCCTGTGGGGACTCTGTTGCTTGAAAACTCTAAGAAACTGCCCCTAAAATATTCAGGCAGCAGTGCTAGTGGCCCCCTGCCACTGAACAGACCTGGGTCACCCCAGGTTTATGAAAGGGATGAGGCAGAATTCCCTCCACAACTCTATCTGTCCTAAGTGCCGCCTGTGGAGAGTAAATGCCCCCGTTTACTTAGCACCTATTCCAGGATAAATTATATTAAGATTTCTTATGTTTGCCATCATTATTGTTATATTTTTTTGTTTTTTGCACAAATCAGTTTTGTGCATGGGATATAGAAAATGAGATCAGGTAAAGCTCATTACAATGTGAGGAGCAATAGTAGCAACATCAGTAAACACACAAAGCTCCTCACCCTTTCCAGAGAAGAAAAAAGAGATATATTTTGTGTAATATAAAATAAAATACAATACAATCATTATAATGATTCTGTAACTAATTCAGAGAGATTCACTGAGGTCCACTTTTGCTGCCACTACTCTTTTCCTTCAAGAAATAAACAGCTTATATCAATCATTTGTTTATGAAAGGAAATGAATATATTCCATAGCATGCTTTTGTAGAACACAGAGTAATTTCTTTTAAAAATAACAGCGTAAATCTGGGAAGGGGTTGAGCCTGAGACCATGTGCAGTTTCTGTCCCCCTTTAAAGGGTATTTTTACTGGATAGCAATAATTAGCCTTGGTAATTTACTATGTTCTCACATTGGAATTTTAAATATCAGACCTGGTTCTGCATCCATGATTCTCTTTCTTAAACTGTATAGACTTATAAGCCTGAAAGCAAAATATTTAATTGTATTAAGAACAGTGGCTGGATAACATTAACAAAGACTGGATTTTGGGCAGAGTCACAGGATGACAGCACAGACATGCACAACCTGCAAGTCACCCTATGGTGTATGCACATGATGGTCATGTATATGGCATCATAGTTCATTAAGATGGGATTTTGTAAAATATATGCGGGCAACAACCCCTTCCATGGATTATCCCAGTCCTTCTCCAAGTCCAGTGAGTAGAAAATCCCAGGTTCTGTTCTGGATGTGTAAGTGCAGACTGCCATACTGTTGCTTTTTAATCATCCAGCTATCACTGCACACGGTAATTTGGTATCTCTTCACTCCAAAATATTTTGTTCTAAATTTCATGAGGTTCCCCACTGTTCTGGCTTCATGCATCTATCTGTTTCTATGGCTTGCTCTTCATTGCTGTATCTGAGCATTTCTCAAGTATTTAAAATAAGCAGTACAATAACAAGCTGTGTCTTTTTTTCCTACCATCTCAGCTTGTAGAAGAAATAGCATGATTAAATTACAGTTTTTTGTTTCTTTGTGTTCATGTGAGAGTGGGCGTGAATTCTATCTACATATGAAGAAACTGATGAGGGAAAAGCTAAGTCAACAGTGATGCCTTCAGTTGTCTCTTTGCCTACCATTTAAGAAAAGCTGAAATGAAAGTTTGTTTATTAGAGCTAGTTGAAAAAAAAAAAGTATTGAGATATTTGTCACTTTTGTCAAGAAAAAATATTTCTTCTCCATCAAAGTTTGCTTGAAAACCAGCTCCATGACATATGGCAAATACTAGCATACTTACTGTACAAGGAGTCTGCATCCATGGCTCCCCATCAATCTGCATAGGCAGAGATTTGCTGGTCCTAAGGAAAAACATTTAATTGTATTAAGAAGTGTGCTTGGACAAAATTCAGAAAATTTGCATTGTGAACACAGATACATGAGGACATGACAGACTCAGGCAATTACAAGGTTGCCTTCAGTTGTACACTCAATTTCCACTAGTATCATCAAGAATTTCAGTCATTAAGCATATGTATGTGACCTTATGTTTTTACAAAATAGAGAGCTTGGTTTTCCTCTGCCATTTGTAATGTATGTGCATGGTGTGTTGCAGACATTACTTTGTCATACTAAGAAGCATCTCATCATTGGAAGTGTTATGGGGGGTATAGTCCCTGCACCTGGAGAACTACAAATTTGCCAGCCAGCGGGTAATAGGGGGCTGCTCCTTGGGTCCCCCTCCCCCTTAGTGGAGACTGATGACTGATAGCCTGCCCTCTCCCCTGCTATGGAAGGCTATCAATGCTCATCTGGCAGAGCCTGCAGCTGCCTGTTTCTGGTTATCAGCTCTGTAACCCCCAAGGGGGCTTTGCAGAGCTGTGGCTACCCAGGTTTGGGCACAGCTATAGCAACAAGCAAAGCTTCAGCAGGGTTTCAGAAGGGCTCCTTGACAGCTCTCCCTCCTCTTTGTTCTGCAAAACACTGAGGTTCTACAATATGTCATCAGGGGTTCTGCAAAGAGATTGGGGGTAATGGTGCAGTGGGCTGGAAAGTGGTATGCCATCATTACCAGGTCTGGTTGCCTGGTTCCACATCAGCTCAGATGGCCCAGAGCTAGGGATAGGGGTTCTGCAGCAGAAGCAATATGAAAGGGTCCTGCAACTTGGAAGTCTGAAAATTATTGACCTAAGGGGAGGGGTGCCAGAAGGACAAGTGGGGAGGCAGGTAAAGGTGGGCTACTGACTGCCTCACTTTGCCTGCACTTCTGGCTCCAGAAAGCAGCCAGTACAGGCAATGTGCATCCCAGAGTACAAAACATTTTGAGAATCAGTTTCATAGAGTGGCTGTGGAGTTCACTGCTGCTTGGTGAAGAACTGACCCCAATTTTTGCTGCCAGAACCAGCATTGTTTTTTGCCCTTTGGACATGGGTTTCAATGGCATAAAATGGGCTTGAAATTTGCCTCAGCTGCAAGAAACTCCATTGCCACTCCGGAGAACTACAACTTCCAAAATGTCTTGCACTTCATGAGGCT